GGCGCGAGGAATCAGAATAACGTCGGGTGATCCTCAGACGACTCAACAAATCATGGCTCAGCATTCTGTTTACTTGAACATTTTTAGGTTTTTTTTTTTGTTGTTTTTTTTGTTTTTTGGGTGTTTGGCGTTTTGTTTTTTGTTTTTTGCCGTTGTAGATTTGCAATCTTGGTCAAGGAGGGTTTACATGAACGTATGCACTTGTGTTCAAAGTGGGTGTCGGCAAAATAAAAGCTTCAAATGTGCATTACTAATTGTATTCATCAGAGACTACGAGAAGCCGCAGACAATGTACACTTAGAGTCGCTTAAAATGTACCCGATTATGTTTCAGTGTCGCTGCTCTCACGGGATTTTGGACCATTTGCCACAAAATGAAGGTGGAAAAAAAATCCACTGTTTATCACTCCACTTTTTTTTCAATCATGGAGAATTATATAGCCGGGTCTACCATGTTTGTTGCTTAAACGATTTAGTTTGGCCTCCTACTCCATTTTGTGAGAGAATGTTCAGAATGTTTTCTTGAGATGAGCTACAAACCACACAAATTTTTTTTTTATATCACACATTGACCTTACTGTGACTAGAATAACTAATCAGAATCGGAAAGGAAGCGGTTAGCCGATACTTACACGCGACTAGTATAACGTATGTGTTCATGACACTTTTAAAATATTTTTAGTTTTGTACATGAAGCACAAACTATTCAGTGAAATGAATTGTGTGAGTGTGTGTGTTTGTGCGTGTGTGCGCTCTGATGTTGTTATGCTGTCTTTTTTCACTGTTAATTAAATTTCATGTGAAAAGGACGATACTTTTCTGTGTGTCCACTTGGGATGGGCATTTGAATGATACTTTTTAGGTGGGGACCGGGGTTGGGGAGGCGTGGGGCTTCTTAGGTGGCATGGTAGATCTAGTAGAACTGGACTCCATTTTGTGTCAATTGCTTCAAGATCAATTAAAAAAAAAAAGTCACCACAATCAATCAATATTTAACAAATGTATTATTATGCCCATCCCGAGTGATGATGCTGGATAAAAACGTGTGTGTCGAAGGCTTTACAAAGACTCAATTTACTCTGTAGTGACTGTACATCCTGTAGCAAGCGTCACTGTCGTATTTGTGTGTGCCGATATTCCCGACTTGACAGAATGTCCCAACTGAGCCGAGTCCTATGGGAGTCGAGTGGGATCTTGTTTGAAAAATTAAGCGTTGTCATGAGTACAATCGTAGCATATTTTGGAGCATTCCTGAAGGAAAAAAAAATATTGGCACAATTTTGAAAAGATGTAACATTTGAATTATGCGTTTTTTTACGTTTTCTTGCCCCACCTCGTGTCACCCCACCCACTAAAAAAACATCAAAGGTGGCTTGAAAAGAACTTTGCTATTTCTATGATTTCCTACTGACTTATAAAATAGAGGTCCTTCTTGATTATTAGAATTTATTGGCAAACATCATTTATTTCAGGACTTGAATTCAAAAATTGCAACTTATGTAGATGATGAAATGCTGAAATATTTCATGATGATTTTGTTGATGATATGATGACAGCTAACGAACACCCGAATTTACCATCTTGACAAATTGGAATACTACATAAGAAACAGCCGAAATATTTTCACGACAGAAATTTGGTCTGCGATTGACTGGCGACCAGTCCAGGGTGTACTGTGGCGCTCTCCCAAAGTCAGCTGGGAGAGACTTTCTTTCATTTATGATTGAAAATGGAAGGATGGATAGAAATTAGGGTTCGCAATGACCTCAAGAATATTTTTTAATGACGGCTTTACATTTTTTTTTGTTTAGTGATTGATTCAACATTGATATGAACATGGAAAAACACTGTCAGCCTTAATTTTGGAACCTTGGATAAAAATACAACACAATAGACAGAAAAACTGATGAATGTCTTGGGTGTACAAACTGGATGGAAAAAAAAATAAAAAAATAAATCATTGATTGTCCGCAAAGAGACTCCCGCAGTCAACCTCCATCAATCCCGCCTTTGATGGTAATTGTAGGATGACCGGCTCTCTTTCATTCGAAGTAATTGAAAGCGCCTCTGTCAGTTTCTGTGCAACTGTCGTGTGGCGGTGACGATGGCGGGCACATGGGACAATAAAGCTATTTTTGTTCAACGTTTGTGTTTTGCAGATGTATTCGCGGAGAGATTGGAATATCCGATTGCCGATAGAATTCCCTCCAGAGGAATTATTGTACAGCCGAATCTCATTACAACGCAACTCATGTTCATGTTCATGTCAACTTTATTGTCAAATGTGGTACAAGTGCAACATACAGCACAGATGAAATTTCTTTCCTCAGGAGAGAGAGGAGCCGCTGGGGGTGCCCGCGCCGCCATCAAAAGAACAGTTGACATAAAATGACAAATAATACAACACAGCACATAAAACACAGTCATGCAATCTTAACCACTTAACTCGAGGGACATAGCAAATCTGTATAAGGGTAGTTTGTTCCATGTACATGTACAGCACTTTGTATGCAGCGATGGCTGTGTTGTTATGAATTGTGTGCAGCCTCCTATTATTTTGTTTGATCTCGAGCAAGGGTGTCCAAACGCGGTTACTTTTTCCTCATTTAAAAATGTTCTTTTTTTCTTGCTATCACAGTGTTGAACTTTGTGCAAATTCACCGAAGCATTAAAAGCTAAGAAAACAAATGTTACATTAAAGGTCAAACTTTGAATGTACGGTGTGTAATACATTATGAACATTTCTAGATGTAAAAACATGAACATGTAAATACAAGACACAAGCACACATCCCATTCCCCATTTCCTCCGCCTACTTGGGACCAGTCTGCTGGCTCTTGGTCGATTGCGATTGTTATGAATTCTGTGTAGCCTCCTATTATTTTGTTTGATCTCGATCAGGGGTGTCCAAATGCGGTTACTTTTTCCTCGTTTAAAAATGTTCTTCTTTTTTTCTTGCTATCACAGTGTTGAACTTTGTGCAAATTCACGTCACTGGGTGAGTCTGAATGTTTATTTGTCTACATTGTGTCCTGAGATTGTCTGGCAACCAGTCCAAAGTGGACCTCACTTCTCGCGCCAAGTCTTGTTTGGCCCGCTTACTTCACGCCCTTGTCTGCGCATGAGCGCTGATTCAGTAATCTGATTGGTTTCCCTCTATGTCAATCAAGTAACGTACGCGATATTTTACCGGCAGGTGGCAATATAGGATTTCAAGGAAACTTCATAGTACGAGAAGCAATGATTTTTTTTTCTTTCCGTGTTGTCACTGGGTGAGTCTGAATGGTTATTTGTCTTCATTGTTTCCTGAGATTGTCTGGCAACCAGTCCAAAGTGGGCCTCACTTCTCGCGCCAAGTCTTGTTTGGCCCGCTTTACACCAGCAGGTGACACCAAAGTATTCTCAACCAAATCCGGCCATTTGTAACGCGATATTTTACCGGCAGGTGGCAATATAGGGGTTCAAGGAAACATTTAACAGTACGAGAAGCAATGATTTTTTTTTCTTTCCGTGTTATGCACTATTTGACCAGTAGATGGTAATAGAAGTACGTGGCATTTCACGTCGTGCTGCTCTTGTACAGTCACGTCACAATATGCACTATTACCTCCATTCGACTTCATCCATCAATAAATCAAAAGCATCTGTATTCATGAACATTACTTTCAAAGATATTTTAGCAATATTTTCTAACTCGGTTGCAAATGATTTACGAGAGAAGTGAAAACAAATTAATGGGAAATAAAAATGCTAATTGATTTACTTAAATTCTTAGTTTAATATATATATATATATTTTTTTTTTTCCTTCAAACATGACCCCCTTTTGACAAATCCACTGAAGGGGGCACTGCTTGTTCATCATCAGACGGAGAGAGAGAGAGAGAGAGAGAGAGAGAGATTCCATTTCCATTCGATTTTTAATCCAACTGTGAAATTCAAAAGTAAAAGGCAGTGTGTGCGCGCGCGCACGCGTGTGTGAGTGTGTGTGTGTGTGCGCGCGCTTCATGTTTTTCTCCTCAGGTGGCTCTGTGAAAGGCTGTGCACTGCTGCATTAACACCGGGTTTCATCATCACACTTTAATCAAAAACAAAAATGACCATGGGGCAGAGAAATGTTGCTTGATATGATATTGATTACGGATGATGGGCAGGGAACAAAAATACAGAAAAAAAGATGTACAATCTTACTATTACTCACAATCCTTGGCATAAAATTCTTGCACATCCGGCACCAGCAGGAATCAAATTACAATTTTTACTCAGTCGCTTTGGTGCATTTCTCAGATTAGAATTGAAATTGTCAAAAGAACGTGTTCAACCTTCACATTCTAGTGTCACTTGTGCATTTCGGAAAGTGGTTTATCTTTTATCCGAAACAAGTTGCTTTTGCACAACCCCGCAAATGATCATGTAAAATTCTATTCCAATCTCCTACATCATCAATTATGCCATGTTGATTATATTATATTAAAATTGCCATCCTGGCATTAGTTTTAAGTACATGCGTAACAGTTGAACAAGTTGTCATAATATGTCTAACCTATGATTTATATTTCCATTGTTTTCCTCAAAACAGGGCATCAATGTGGATCTTGACCAATCCCTTCCAATTAGTCTTCCACATACACTAAAGTATAACTTAGAGTTTGGAAAAATGGTCAACAAAACATCAGAACATGCATCCAGAGTACCGGTACACTGTTATCTTGACAACACAACTGCCTTATCCATTCATCTAAGATTTATCATTCCGATGCCCCTGACATGTTCGGTGACATAAAAATTTATTTTTGAGAGATGTACTAATCATTCTGAGAAAGAAAATGGCTTTTGCCCCACCATGATGTTTTGCTGTTTATGCAAATTACAAGAACGATATGGACCAAAAATCAACTGGGGAAAACTGCAAGAACTTCAATCTAATATTGTATGAGATTTGGACACCAATTTTTAATGTGTGTGTGTTGGGTTGCGGAGACACAAACAGAATTGCTCCAAAAACTTTAGACATTTTATTACAGACAAAAAAAGAAAACAAAGGAATATTTGAGTCACAAAAAGAATCCGATGCTGGTCCAGTGGTATTGTACCAACAATTTCTGGAAAAAAAAAGTCAAATTAATAACCCATGTTATTATTATTATCATTATTATAATAATAATAATAATAATAATGCACCCTGATGAAAAAAGCCAGCATCTTCTTTATTATTTATAAACCAACGTGAAAGCTTCTAACCAACTGAAATAGAATGACCTTTTTGTCAAACCAATATTCATCAAAACAAACTGGATCTCTGGCATGACAAAGTAAAGAAGTACATTTGGCAGGATCTATACACAAAATGGAATTATATACCCCGATATCCGTTCCTCTTAAATCCTGCTACAGTGAAAACCAAAAGATCTTTTTTTGAAAAACTCTTCACAAAAGATGAGAAAGATGAGCTCAACACAATTCTAAAACACCTAATAAAACTAGTCAAAAACTTCAAAACCCCACTGTTTTTTTTTCTTTAGTTAACATTTCACATTTAGCTTCATTTTTTTTTTGTGTTTGTTTTGTTTTGTTTAATTCACCTGTACAAGTGGTGTCAGGGCAAAAAGAAGGTGGGGAGGATTCAAAAGGGTTTGAAATCTTCCAATTCTGCACTTCGGCAACATCCTGAGGTCACGTGACGAGAGTCGACGCTCCCAACTGTCAGAAAGGAGATGGCGATTGTTTTTCTTTTTCTTTTTTTTTTTTTTTGGGATGTCCTCCTCCTCGTCTCTTTCTCGTAACACAGTTTTGGGTGTGTGTGTGTATTCCATCACCACATTTTTCAATGAAAGAAACTCAAGTCAGCTAAATACACACATAAGAAGGATCTGATTTTGGTGGTATATACAATCTCTGTGAGAAATAAAAGGAACTTAGAAAGTCCTTCATTTCGGGCAACGATGAATTTTGCAAACATCTCACGTGTTTGCGACGAGCGCGAAAATGTCCTGAAGTACACGCACCCCTCCGCTGAGGCGACTAATTTGGAGAGCCCTACTCTTTGAGGATGCTTGGAGCATGTCATCTCCGATGAGGAGGCAAAGGGGAAGCATCTCGAGGAAATTCAAAAACAAAATGAGAAGTATTTTTGTCTTTCTTTCCAGTATGCTGGCAGAAGCTCAGAGCTCACTGCCCCCGCAAAAAAATGAAAAGTTCACTGATGAGAGAGAGAGAGAGAGAGAGAGAGAGAGAGAGAGAGAGAGAGAGAGAGAGAGAGAGAGAGAGAGAGAGAGAGAGAGAGAGAGCCTCGGGCGTGTGGCTGATCTAAGTGCTTGGCGAATAGGTGAAGATGCTGGAGCAGTCTTTGGGATTTTTAAAATCCGGCAGAAGACAAAGAAGAAGAAGAAGAAGAAGAAGAAAGCAAAATGGTGTCGAAGCAGATATATTGATGATGTTACGTTGGAAAATCTCCCTGGAGTCACACGTGTGGAGGTCTTTCAACTTCAAGTGAGGTAGAGAGGCTTGTCCCGAGGTCCCATGCCACTGCTGAAAAAGAACAGATGTTAGGTTCATGCCATGCGACTCACACCGACATGGGAACATCACTGGATGTTGTACGCGGACGACATTATGGCCATTGTCAGAGAGGGATTCATTGAACGTGTTTATGTCAAAATATTAGAAACAGCTACAACTGTGGTGCTGTCAAGTTGTTAACAATATTTGAATAGATATGATATTAGAATGGGCGGCCCGGTGATCCAGTGGCTTGCTCGTTGACCTCACGGTGCAGAGGTCGTGGGTTTGATTCCAGCTCCGGCCTTCTGTGTGGAGTTTGCGTGTTCTCCCCGGGGCCTGCGTGGGTTTTCTCCGGGTACTCCGGTTTCCTCCCACATTCCAAAAACACGTGAGGCAGGCTGATTGAACGCTCAAAAATTGTCCCTGGGTGTGAGTGTGAGTGCAGATGGTTGTTTGTCTCTGTGTGCCCTGCGATTGGCTGGCGACTGGTTCAGGGTGTCCCCCCGCCTTCTGCCCGAAGACAGCTGGGATAGGCTCCAGCACCCCCCGTGACCCCTTGTGGGGATAAAGTGGTTCAGAAAATGGCTGGATGGATGGATATAAGAATATTATATTGCACATACTGTATTGCCATAATCTTGTGGCTGGCTGGTATGTTGGACTCTCAGAATGTTTTCTTACAAAGCCTGTAACATGACCACAAAACCCATCCTGAGACCACCCATCCATCCATCCATTTTTGTCTACTGCTTATCTTGCTTATTGGAGGCTTTTCAGCCTATCCCAAGTGATGTCCGGAGATACCCATCGCAGCATCCAGAGACACTCACTGACTGACACTCGCATTTTGTCACTGAATGGGAACCAGGGAAGGTAGTCAGGAAAGTGAATCGCCACACAATCAGTGACTTGTCATTGTGTTATTTTACATTCAAATAAAGACGATTCATAATTAAATGGCAAATCCAGCCAACCGTTTCTTACCTGCGTCTCTTAATCAGACTCAGTTGAGTAAAATGTCATTTTGATTGGCAACCATCAACTATATATCTCCATATAAATACATATGTTGATGATGTTTGATTGAATTAAAAACAACATTCTGACACTTGTCTCGTTTTTGCGACTGAAAGGAGGTGGTGCGTTTCACGCCGTCTCTTTTCGTGACGTACATGAGTGACGGACACTTGGAGAGAGTTGAAATTTAACTAACGAGGGTGAATCTACCGAAACTAATGTCGTTGGCTAGCGAAGGCCTCCCTCCACGGTATCTTATGATTTTTGCTTTGCACCCCAAAAGAATGAACCCACTCTCGGTTGGGGCGTGCCTTTACCGAAGAGGACAAGTATTTGGGTCTAGGTAGTCTTTGAGCATGACGAGACGCAATACGTCTTCTAAGACAATCTGACCTGTACAATCGTGATCAATTTGATGCCCTCAGAATAAAATGACCGGCACGAATGGGAATATTCACAGGCAATGTCCTCATCAGGTGGACTCATATGATTGACATCGGACAGCAACGCTGTGTTTCTGATTCTGGATTCAGCGGCTACGTTAGCTTGATAATTCTGCTCACCTTTCCCATTTTAAGAGACTCCTAACTTGAAGTGTCGAATGCAAAAAAATCTTCCTTCAATTTATCTTTCTAGACACCAAGGGCCCTTCAAAGCGTCAACAAGCTATTCACAGCAGGAAAACAGTCAAGCAAATACTTGTTGCAAATGTGATTTGACTCGGGCGTGATCCCATTTGACATAGAGCGACAGAATGGGCTCCGAGTGGAGGAGCTGGCGACTTCCCGCTCCTTCGCACCTCTGCATAGCGAAACGGAGTTTCAGGTGTGAGACAAAACACGAGCCCTCTTGTAGCCGCTTGAACGGCTCGATTCGATAAGGCGACATGTGCCAAACAAAACACAGGCAGAGTTAATTGGATATCAGGGCTGGAAATGACATCCTGCTTCTGCGTCTCGCTTTTGAGGAGGTACGTTGGAAAATAAGAGCGCATTACTAATGGAGTTTTAAATATGGCCGCGTGACAGTGAAGTGGTTTGTAGCAAGTCATTTGGAAAATTAATCAAATGGCTGACAATTTTCATTCGCTGACATCTGTTGTGTTCATCCTTTACCTGCAAGGGTTGGGTCCACAATCTCTGTTGCAGTATTCGCTATCCCAGTCTGGGTTCTGGCCATGCACTGGATTTGGAGCCCCTGGAGACTGCGAGCCCCCCACGCTGTTCTGGTACTCAGCCTGAATATGGGAAAACCCCTGAGGGTCAAACATTTTATGAGTGAAATTCAATGAGAAGATGTTGCACTGCGGGGGCTGTACATGAATTGTTCCAAATTAAATGTGTGTATTAAAAAAATAAAAATAAAAGAAAAAAAGGCAAACGTATTTAGGGAATAAACAGTGTACAGAGGTACCTCGAAGTTCAACCACATTGAAATCTGTGACGCTGGGCAAGGAATAGGTTGGTTTCCTTTCAGAATAAGATTTTGCACGCAGTGGGCAAGTGATTAGCACATCTGCCTTCATGTGTGGAGTTTCCACACACACAAACACATTTCCAAGGTTAAATGAAGTCTCTAAATTGTCGATTTGTGAATGGTTGTCTATTTGTGCCCTGTGATTGGCAGGGGACAAGAACTATCGATATAAATGCCGTTTTTAGCAATATTGTAATTTATGAGACATTCCTGTTCAAAACCCAGCCGCTGGGGGGCAGTGCCCTCCCCTGGGGGTGCACTGTTCCCCAGTGCCGGTCCCATGCCCGGAGAAATGGGGAGGGTTGCGTCAGGAATGGCATCCGGCGTAAAACTTTTGCCAAGACGACCATGCGAGTTGGTAGGACGGTTTACAGGGGCGGATGGAAATTACTGACTCGCTGTGGCGACCCCTGAATAGGGATGTGCCGAAAGGAGAAGAAGAAGAAGATGAGACATTCCTGTTCAAGAGGTGCCATACAACTCATTTTTTAAAATTTTAAGTGTCGTACAAGAAAACATAAAACCAATGACTAAAATGAGGCAAAACATTCAAACATAACACTCAATAATAACATTTGATTATGGGTGACAACATGGTAGCTAGCCAGTTGGGCGCTAATCAGCTCACAGCTAGCGCAATAGGCTCATGTAGCCATCGACACATCAGCTCTCTGCTCACAAACAGATGTGACTCAAATGCATGAAACCAAGTCACGGCAGATCCAAATCAAAGTCCCGTTCAGAAAAAAGTAAGAGTTTGTTGTGCTTTAAATTCGATGGCAATGGAACAAAAGCAGGACGGAGTAGCCGACAAAAATATGGCGCTAAACATTGCTTACTGGAAGCAGCACTTCAACACCTTCATTTGCATGACTATAACTAACGATATGGAAACACCCGGGGCAAAATACTTGTACACCGCCGCTCTTTTCTGCTTATTTGATGGGCACAAACTCCAAATTGTAGAACTTTTGGGGCAACTTCAAGGTAGCACTGTTTCTCACTGACTCCGTACCGAAGTACAGTAAACGTGTTGAGGCAGTAAACTAAGATTCTGATGAAAGTTCACACCCACCTGTTGGCTGAGAGGTGGGGAATGCAAAGGTGCCTGGAGCCCCATTTGGTGCGAGATGATTGGCTGCGACTGCTGCATGCGGATTGGCTGGTTGAGCAGTGAGCTCTGGTGCAGTGAGAGCTGGGCATGGGGGTGCAGGGGTGGGCTGATCTGGAAGGGAGCAGGGGGCGAGGCACTCATGCTGGGTGGCAACATCTGCGATTGGCTGAGAGTGGAGGCCAGGCTGTGGCGTGGGGGCCCCGCGTAGCTCTGGAGGTCCGACAGGGGGAAGGAGCCCGATGGGCCCAGGTAGGGGGACGAGGGCTGAGGACTATACAGGGGCTGCTTTGGGGGCAGCAGGTGGGAGGGCTGGCTTGTCTGCTGGGCACTTTTTGGCTCTGGATCATTATATGTCTGGAAATAAGACGTCATATAATCACGTACAGGTTATGCCCCCATCTTAAATGTTACTAAATAGTATAGTGACATATTTGTGGCGGCCCGGTGATCCAGTGGTTAGCGCGTTGACCTCAGTGCAGAGGTCATGGGTTTGATTACAGCTCCGGCCTTCTGTGTGGAGTTTGCACGTTCTCCCCGGGGCCTGCGTGGGTTTTTTCCGGGTACTCCGGTTTCCTCCCACATTCCAAAAACATGCACGGCAGGTTGATTGAACACTTTGAATTGTCCCGAGGCGTGAGTGTGAGCGTGGATAGTTGTTCCTCTCTGTGTGCCCTGCGATTGGCTGGCAACCGGTTCAGGGTGTCCCCCGCCTTCTAGCCAGAGACGGCTGGGATTGGCTCCAGCACCCCCTGCTACCCTTGTGAGGATAAAGCGGATCGGAAAATGGATGGATGGATGGACATATTTGTGACTGACTGGCAAGCAGTCCAGTGTGTGACCCGCCTTTTGCCAGATGCTCCACAGGCTCACCACAACAGAAAATAAATATTGAACTTTTTTTCCACCATTCATGTGAACCATAACCATCCATCCATCCATTATCTGAACTGCTTTATCCTCACGAGGGTCACGGGCGTGCTCGACCTATCCCAGCTGACTTCAGGCAGTAGGCAAGGTATACACTGAACTGGTCGCAGGGCACACATAAACAAACAACCATTCACACTCACAATCAGACCTACCGAGTGGTCAATCACGATGCCCAAATCACAATGGTCCTCCTATAATCAATACTGGGTATTGGTATATTCAGGTACTGATATATGGTTTTAGGTCGCGTGACCTGGAGCCCCGCAACTGACTTTGGGCAAAAAAAGGGGTACATCCCTGACTGGTTGCCAGTCAGTCATTGGGCACATACTGGGATTTGTAGGTTGTAGGTCTACTAGAACCTACAAATTTTGGTCCCAGTACTGACTTGCCCACCACCATTCACACTGATGGACAGTTTAGAGTCTTCAATTAAGCCAACATGCATGTTTTTGGAACGTGGGAAGAAGCTGGAGTACCTGCATAGAACCCACACAAGCACAGCGAGAACTCGACACAAGAAAGCCAAGATTCACATTACTAATGTCAGAACAGTGAAGCAGACATGCTAACCATTATCCCACAGTGCCGTGCAGCTCCAAATTGAATCTCAACTTAATTTTCAATCGATCTTCAGCTTGACAGCTTTCGCGATGTATTTTCCATGCCCTCGTTGTGCTACGGCTGACGAATGAATGGGCAGATGAAATTTGATGTTTAGCAAGAGCTACGGAGGAGGAGGAGGGGGGGGAGCGTAAAAACTCACACCAACTCCGCCTCACCAAAACTTGTTGACTTGACCTTTCCCATGGCGGGCGCTCAGAGCAAGTGTAGCACCCACAGTGCGCGCCGCCTTTCGCCCTTTTATGATGAGCTGTCACACTGTTCAGCTCCAACCATCAGTGTTGATTAGACGGTAATGGAGCTCATTTGTATGAATAGATCTGAGGCTGGGGTCATGATCAATAGACACCTTGACGGAGATGGGCGAAGAAGACACACACACACACACACACATATATACAAACACCACACACACATGCCTACTTGGACATAGACAGAAACCAAGGCAGAGAAATGAGGCTGTTTGCTCGCAGAACAAATGGAATGACAAAAGGAATCTTCCTGCCACTATGTTGTGTTGTTAATACAAGGCGGCACTAAACAATGCAATCCTCAGCCCTCCTCCTCGCTCTTCTTTATTCCACTGCTGCCAGATTCCTGTAAATCATTTTCCGGGGCACGCAAATGCTACTCATCCGAATTAACAAGAAGCTAAAAATAAATGCTTCAAGATCTTATTCCTGACATCCTGCCTATTGACATTCTGTTGTAGGCACAGACGAGAGAGAGAGAGAGAGAAAAAGAGAGAGAGTAACATGCTTTCTATCCTTAATCCATCATTCTGTAGCCGTCGTGGTCATATGCTTGCACTATGAGTGGTTGAGCCATCCCCACGTAACTCACGATTGCATCGACGATAATCTGCACCCGAAGCAAATCAGGTATTGTTCCAAATATGGATGGTTGTCTTTGAATCTAATGCCCCCCTCACCCTCTCCACCACAGAGGCCCCTCCCAGACCATTAGTGGGGCTTTTCCATCCAATCCATCATCAGTCTATGCCTGTGCCTGTGTGTCATAAGCGTTACCTTGGAAACCAGACTGGCTCTGTACGCTGCCAAGGCTTTCAGGTACTCCTTCTTGGCTGCCTCAGTTTTTCTCTTGTAACCCTGAGAAGAAAGGTGAAAATCAAAACACGCACTTTCGGGTGAGACGAGGGCTTGACATGCTCGTGCGCAGAAACGCGCTTGGACGCACGCACGCACACACACACTTTTAATGTTTCCCTTTCCATCAGAGCCAATGGCACAGAACATTTTTATTTCCTCACTGCAGCACTAATACTGCCTCATCTCAATGTGTCTCCCTCCATTGTAGAAACACATCATTTCCATTCCAATCCACCCGGAGAAATGAACCGGAACTTCTTTCTTTGGATCCTTTCAGCTCCCAAATAACAGTCCTATCAGCACGCTGACATTAGACACTCACGAGAGGAGCTTGCTGCAGCAGTGCAGCCTGTAAAGAGGGTTTCCACTGCTCTCCTTGTTATTACGGCAACAACTCTTGTTGATATGGGCTTTATTGTAAATGAGGACGCATGCACGGGTTTTTATAGTACCTGGGTCGGATGTACGGTATCAGATTGATTGGGCTATTGTAGAGATGGTTAAAATAACTTCATATTTCAATAATCAAAAGACAAATGATTGTTGCAACTGGTCGTGTTATGAGCTCTTCTACCCGAATCTGTTTGTTTTTTTTTTTCATGACTAATAAGGTATTGCTTTTCATAACAGAACAATTCGTGTTTCTTAAACTGTCTTTGACCGGCACATGAATCAGTTGAAAAAAAAAAATCAAAACTTGGTTTTAATGAAGTATAAATGTATCCCCCCCATCCATTCATTTTCCGATCCGGTTCATCCTCACAAGGGTCGCGGGGGCTGCTTGTGCCTTTCCCAGCCGTCTTTGGGCAGTCGGCAGGGGGCACCCTGAACCGGTGGCCAGCCAATCACAGGTTAGTACAGTAGCACCTCTACTTACGAACGTCTCTTCATACGAAATTTTCAAGTTACGAAAGAAATTTCAAGATTCGAAAGGTAAAAATACAGGATGGGCCGCGACTCGCAGCTCCGAGTTTCCTGAACGCAACATACTTATACCTGCTCCGCCATTGGCTATTACCTGGCATCTTCCTGGCATCTCATTGGCTAAGAGGTACCTCTACCCGTATGTGTCTATGTGTGTAGATAGATAAATAGATAGATATGTGTCTATGCAGCGTCTCGGTCATTCGCCGCTCGGGCCATGAGGTGTTCCCAGAAAAAGTGTTCACCAGTGGGGCGATCACTCACTATGCTGATGTTTGCCTTGGACATTTTCGAAGGATTGTTAAAGGCCGACAAAAGCGAACGTCCTTGGATCAGTTCTTTACAAAACGCCAGGCAAAAACCACTTCTGAGCGAGAACATGAACTAAAGAGGACAAAAAAAAAAACCACGATGAGGACGCAGTTAAAAGTTAAATGACCATCGTTTTTATTCTTTATTCTTAATTTTTTACATCATGCACAACTCGAACTTATTGTGCAATAATGTAATTGTAACATGCATTGGTTACATATTTTGATACATTTTTATGCTTTAGAAAACATTTATGTCTGAATTTGGGGGTTGTGGGGGGGGGGGGTCTTGGAACGGATTAGGGCATTTACATGGAAAATGCGTCTCTACTTACAAAATTTTCTAGTTAAGAGATTTCTTCCAGAACCAATTAATTTCGTAAGTAGAGGTACCACTGTACTGTAAATGATATCGTCGGTATTAAGACTCCCCAGTATAACAGGACTGTATATGGATGTTTTTGTGATAATATTGAAAGCAGATAATTGAGATTAATTGGTAGAATTCAATGAGTATAATGTTAAACTATATATAAACTGGGTGAAGGCATTTTTCTTTTTTTTTTTTTTTTAATTGAAGTTTTTTGGTGGTTCAATGTTTCAGCGGTACATGTTTGAAATAGATGAATAAGAAATAGACGAATGGAAACATGAAGAAGTCACTTGAATAGAAGCATAGCTGTACGATGGCGCTACTAAGTACACAATATTAGAATAACATGCTTGAATAAAGCATAGTTTAATCATGAGATGAAGCAAAAGAAGCCAACGGTTCTACTTTAGATTTGAATGGCCTCAAGGTAAAACATGATGACCTTCTACTTACTTATTAGCAGAGCAGCGATGAGGTTGAATAGAGCGACAAAAACATAAGACCACTTGTCATGAAAAAGGGGATTGTCAAGATGCCCTTCAGCGCCACAAAGGCCAAGGTGTACTGATCATATATTCTTGGTAGGATCAAACACATAAAGAGAGTGGTACACAAACTAAGGTAAAAAAATACATTTGCCGACTTTATTTATTTCGATTCTCCAGTTTAGTTATGTTTGGGGTCTTAGCTAACACAAGCAATTTTGTTTTTCAATGATATCCCAAATATATACCGTATTCCAAAACGTAAGGCGTTTTGGAATATAAGGCCCACCTTCAATGTTTGGCCAATTTAAAAACTGTTTTCATATATAAGGCGCACCCGGAATATCAGGCACTTAGAATAGAAGCTACAATAGTGGCTGTGACTACGGTATGCATCCACTAGATGGAGCTACACTGAAAAGAAGACATTAAAATACAGCTTTATTCATATTGCTCTTTCACAACCGCTGCAGCGGTAACAAAGCGCTTTACAGAACATTTAAAATACTACGTCCAAGAAATCAGAATATAGATCCATATATAAGGTGCATCGCAATATAAGTTGCACTGTCGGCTTTTGAGAAAAGTGAATGCTTTTAGGTGCGCCTTACAGTGCGGAAAATACTGTGTGTGTGTGTGTGTGTGTGTGTGTGTGTCTCTCTCTCTCCCCTTGTGAGAGTATGCGGGTAGGAAAATAGATGGATATATATATATATATATATACACACACACACACACACACACACACACACACACACACGCACGCACGCACGCACGCACACACGCACGGACGCACGCACACATTTACCCCTCCATGATCCGTAGCATACTTAAGTATTGTTGTAAAACACCATATATATATATATATATATATATATATATCGTACGGGAGACGGTGGTTCGAATCCCGCTTGGGGCAACACACCGTCTCACGGTGGAGAGGTGCACTTCTCCCAATTTCCAAAACCATGGGTGGCGGGTTAATTGATTGCTCTAAATTGCCCTTGGGTGTGATCGTGTGAGTGTGAATGGCTGTTTGTCAATGTGTACCGTGCAATTGGCTGGCAACCAGCTCAGGGTGTGCCCCACTTACTGCCCGAAGACAGCTGGGCTCGGCTCCGGCACGCCCGTGACCCTCGTGAGGATAAATGGTTTAGATAATGGATGGATGAATATATACAGTCGATACTCTTTTGGTGCGGCTTAACGGCAGCCTGCTACATCTCGCTTCATCATCGGTCAGTCAGGCAAATCAGTGGATGAAGACCACACACTATGCAATAGTTCTGTCAGGTTCCGGCCATACACATGGCCAAGTCATTCAACTCTGTATTAGATATTCCCTTAAAATATCCAAAGCGGTAAAATGTCCAGCTTCATTAACTTGGACTGTTTTACTGGTGCTGTCACCCTTCTCCTCCCTCGTTCAGTGGGTAGAATTAAATTTAGAGAGAAAATCATTATAACGAGAGTCAGCGGAGTAGGGGATAAACGGGTGGATTATCTTTAGAAAGAGTAAAAACTTGCTCATTAAGGTGAGTGTTATCTCACGGCAATGTTCTGGTAATTACACAGTGGATAATGCCCACTGCAAGACCCAACACACACCAATCACTGAAGCACTATTGTGGGATATCACGGGAAAAAAACGCTATTGTTTCTTATGTTACTCTAAAAAAAAAGCTTCATTTTCTCATTGATTCATGTAATTCTAAAAGACGCTCTAATGGTGACCTCACGACCTCAGCTGTTTTTACAAGACCACGTTGTGTTTTTCGATGCGCACTGTACGGAACACGGCGCTCACATAGGAACAGTGACACTCATTCTGATAGGAAATATTCAATTTCCAAATAAATTCCCATGAGAACACATTGGAATGATGGATTGTATGTGAAATAGTAATTCCAGTGAAGCATAGCATAACATATGGCAAATTAGAATAACGGGCATTCCTTCAGCAGGAGGTGACTGTAGTTCAGCCAAAATATTCAAGCAGTTGTAATGGTTCCCTTAATTGAGCAAACCGCCACTAAATATCAGGCATGGGAATTCTATTTATGCTATTTAAACATTTTTGAGAATTTTGTCACTATATAAGCTGCAGATGGTGATACGTTTCACGACAACAACTTGCATAGGGCACAGTTCTTTAGCCCAAAAATGTACACGGCACGAATGGGCGCCAAACAAACAAGCAACAGAAAGTTTTTTTGTTTTTTGTTTTTTTTTGGGGGGGGGGGGGACAGAGGCCTTTTCTATTGGCCATATGTGGGCTGTGTTCCTTCCCACAACGATGCCCAACGGCGCAAACCTCTCCGGCCCTCTGCTATCTGCACTCGGATAGCAAAATACCAAAAGGGAGAACACTCCACCCATGCTCACAGTTTGACTGCATTTTGCGCTAAACTTGTGCCGAGAATGAAAAAGAGGCCCTGATGAAGTCTCTCGAGAGGGGGTCACATGATCATAATATGTGGTCATAAGTTTGGTTTGACTGTTGACACATATTTTTGCTGGAACTCCAAACTGTAACACGGTGAGGCCTTCAACTTTGGCAGTTCCGTTACTGGTTTTGTTTTATGTTTAGCATTTTCATGTTTATAGAACAAGACAGGGTTATGTTGGATTGTGGAAGATAACATTTAAATAGTTAGGCTGAAATTGTGCATAAAAAAAAATGTAACTTTGCTGCTGTAGATTGCTAATTTCTCCATTGTGAGACAAATAAAGGTTTTCTTATTTTTATTATTCTATTTTTATTTTAAACTCAATGAAAAGGAGGACTTATTGGTTTTTGGTTACCTATTATTGTAATTGTTTGCACATAATGAGGAAATACACAGACATTTCCAATGCAGTGGTACTTCTACTTACGAAATTAATTGGTTCTGAAAGACATTTCTTCACGAGAAAATTTTGGAGGTAGACACGTTTTCCATGTAAATGCCCTAATCCGTTCCAAGCCCCCCCCAAATTCAGACATAAATGTTTCCGAAAGCATAAAAATGCATCAAAATATGTAACAAATATATGGTGCAATTAGATCACTGCACAATAAATGAGAGTTGAGCATAATGTAAAAAAGAAAGAATAGAGTAAAGAATAAAAATGATGGTCATTTAACTTTTAACTGCGTCCTCATCGTATTTGTGTCCTCTTTAGTCCATGTTCTCTCTCAGAATTGGTTTTTGCTTGGCGTTTTGTGAAGAACTGATCCAAGGACGTTTGCTTTTGTCAGCTTTTAAAAATCCTTTGAAAATGTCTCAGGCAGCATGGTGAGCAATTGCCCGACTGGTCAAACACTTTTTCTGTAAAACCATCGCAACAAGTCCAGGGCGAATGACGACGACGTTGCATCGACACCTAACTATCTATCTACACACATAGACACATACGGTAAGCGGCCCCTCTTAGCCAATGGGATGCCAGGATGATGCTCGGTAATAGCCAATGGCAGAGCAGCTCTAAGTATGTTGCGTTCAGGAAACTCGGAGCTGCGAGTAGCAGCCCATTCTGCATTTTTACCTTTCGGATCTTGAAATTTCTTTCGTAACAAGAGGCAAGATTTTCCTGTTGAGCTGTTTCGTAACTTGAAAATTTCATATGAAGAGACGTTCATAAGTAGAGGTACCACTGTACATTGATTTTATTTGTACAGTTCTCAGCATGCACTTCCACAAATATGTTGTAGTTTGTACCTGCTTCTGTTCCTCTCCTAGGCTGTCCCACATGGAGGCCACAATCTTGGACACGTCTCCAAAGGTGGCGTTGGGGTTCTGTCCCTTAATGGCTGCCTGGGTATCTCGGAAGAAGAGCGCATAGGCCGAGACGGGTTTCTGTGGCTCGTTGGGATCCTTCTTCTTCTTCTTCTTCTGCGGTTTGGGTTTGGGCTTCATCATTTCTGCCGAGGACCGCTTGTCGTTGCTTAACTGCAACGGGACAACAGGGAGGAAAACAGTGATGAGATCAGGTGATAAAAATAACTGTTTACATCGGGTCGGAAGACGTGTTTCAAAACACGTTGCATTGACTTGGTGAGGACATAAGGATGATTGGTGAATTTAAAGGTGAGCTGTCGCCGAGGCCTAAAAAAAAAAAAAAAAACAGCAGAGCAAGGGTGAAAACAGACACGTTCTGTGAAGTGCGGCCAGAGTTTCTTCTAAGAAGCGGGAGCACATTGATTTACCAACTAAGAGGACATCAGTGAGACTGCTTAGCCTCTGGGGAGTTGAAGAGCATAACTGGCTAAAGATAGAAATAACTTATAATCTTCTTCGAAGCACAGCACTAGTAATATTCTTTCTTAAGTTCAAATAAATACGTTCCGACAAAAGACCGTGGGCGGAAAAAAAACAAAAAAAAAAAACCCAACAACACAGAAATCTCTACATTTAAAGGCTGTAATCACATGGTTTTGTCAAGAATAACACAGTGCAATCGCACTCCACTTTCAGGAGGCGTAAACTGCTCACATCCGCATGATGTGCAACATCCAACACACATGAATGCACTTTCATTTTCTGTGAGGGGGTTTAGATGGGGAGTCAAATCCAGGTCACCTGATCCTGGTTGTGATTCTGTATGAAAATTGCCTTCTTGGATGCAGAGAGAACACATCAAACACAGGAGATGGAGAAGGGGGGGAGGGGGACGGAGAGAGTGAGAGAGAGAGAGCGAGAGAGAGAGCGAGAGAGAAGGGGGGTAAAGGGTGTGGGCGGTGAGCAAGCGCAAAGACATTGCAAGATAGGACGTTTAGGAAGCAGTGATAGCTTGATGCTTCCATTTGTATCGGTGCAAGATCAGTTAACCTGATTTCTTGATGGTTCTTTAAAAAAAAAAAAAAAAAAAAAGCATCTTTTTTCCCCATTAACATAACAGCAAACGTAACGGCACACTGCCCGTGATGATAATCAACCCAGTCTTCTGTGTGCTTTTTTTTTTTATTATGATAATCAACCCAAACTTCTGTGTGCTTTTTTTTTTTTCTGTCATCAGGATCTCATTTAAGATCTCGCAGGACGAACAAAGCAGAAGATGTCAAACGATGACTTGAGGAAACACACATACATTCCCAATGCATGATTTGATTTGCATCTCGGGTTCTTCCCCTGTTTGTATCGCAACAAATCATTCTGGATTTTTTGCTCATGTCCGCTTTAATTTGTTTTCTTAAAAAATGCAACTCTTGCTTCGTTTCTAATTCCCTTCTACTTTCTCTTGTCACAATTACATCCCGACCCCTGACGGTACATAATAACTGTCTTGCTCGCAGTGATATGACATATTGTTTTGTCGCCGCTATCGTTGACGATTACCTCCCTAAATAAAATGCACGCTGGCAGCAGGTTGACGCATCGGCGGCGGCAGCGGCCGCGTTCCTCCCTCAACCGTCGTCGTGAAAAAGCAGGAAGCGAATGCTTTTGAAAGTCTCCATCGCGTTCCTCCCTCAACCGTCGTCATAAAAAGCAGGAAGCGAATGCTTTTGAAAGTCTCCATTGTTTCAGCAGAAAACTCACTGGCAGAAGAGAGAGCTGTACACAGCTCGACACAGCATGAAATTAACTCATCAAAATTCAAGATTCACGAGGGCAATTGGTGGGAAGAGAAGACAAAAAAAAAGTATTTCAATGAAATAAATAGATGTTTCCCCATTGAGGAAAACGTGAAACATTGCTTGTCTATTTCACAGCTTACAGGTCATATTCATTTCTTGTGTGCAAGTATGCCTCGTTTCATTAAAACATAATCAGGCCTCACTTCCAGGCAATGAGGCAGAAGACAGGCATTAGATATGACATCTGTTCCATCCAAGCCTTTGAAGTGAATAGAGACTAAAATGAAGGTAGGCCAAATTGAAGTAGCAAAATGGGGGTGGGGGTGGGGGAGACAATGTACTGCTACAAATTTTCCAGGAAAATTCGCATGTATTTGTACTCTGGAGAGCATGATGACAACAGCATGCAACAACATGCAATTAACTAGATGACGGAACAATGGACACATGCTTTCATTTCCTCTCTTGCTTCGTTCGCCTCTTTTATTGTACAAATGGTGATGAAATGACGTTGAAAATGAAAGAACAAATAAAGCACTCCGAATGCTGCGCCTCCACAGAAACCCGCCGGACTCAGTACTGAAATAAAAGCTAAGTGTACATTTGCCGACCTGGTTGATTGAATCTTCTGGTTGCTTGAAACACAAACACATTCTCCTCATCTTATTTGCAGGCTAAAGTCTGTTTTAAAAAAATACTAATTAAAAAAAAAATCTGTAAATCCAACATGGCATTGTAACAGGCAATGAAGCATATCTGATCGCTTAAACTTGAGTTATTCTTAAATAGGAAGAAAGCATAGTCGACTGAAATATTCTTATGAATGTCCAATGATCAGATGGATTTACATTTTTTTGGGCGCCGGCAGTACAAAAAAAAAAAAAGTTTTTGGACATGTTGCTGTATTGTTGGCAGACACACACTCCTGTGAGACCTGACAGCTTGTGGGTCATGCTACATTATTTTTATCGATCTAAAATGAGGTCTGTTTAATTTATACTGATTACACTGTGTGGATGTAGTGGAGGGACTTAGCGCTTTTTGAGCTCAATTCAAGAGTTGTCGGTAGAGATGTTGGTATTCGGTACTGTTATCTAGTTATCCAGAGAATATTTTCAACTACTTTCAACTATTTAAAAGCGGAGCAGAATATATTGGTCAAGTAACACGATGCCGGTGGTTCTTAACCTGGGTTCGATCGAACCGCAGGGGTTTGTTGAGTCGGTCTCAGGGGTTGGACGAAGCCTCTGCCATGGGCGCGACTCAACATGTTAATTAGTTATGACACGCCCGCTTTGCCATCACTGGCTGCAGATGATCACATGACATTGCTTGTCCAATCAGTGCTGCGGGAAATTTAGTTCGCTTAGGAGTCCTCGTGTGACTGTCGTGATAGTACGTCGTACAATTTAAAAAAAAAAAGTATACTTATCTCTTGAAATATTATTTACTTTTTTCTGTTTTTAATAAATGCACTTTTTTTATATCTTGAATTTCTTAAAAAATATATACAGTATTTATTTTTCACTCATGAAGGGTTCGGTGAATGTGCATATTAACTGGTTGGGGTCGGTACCTCGACAAAGGTTAAGAACCGCTGCACTATGCTAAACGTGTGCCAAAACCTCCACACAAATAAAACTTTCCCTGTGATGACCAGTAGGAGTCACTATTGATGTGATGTCCTGTTGAGTAGAAAGTCATTTAAATCCTCACTTCAATAAGGGAGGAGACCACATTGTTTAATTAATATTACAACTGTAACTCTGATGATGATGATGATGATGTCAGTGGTGACGGGGGAAGAAGGAGCGTGTGCATGTGCGCTTTATAGCGCATTTCCATTCGAACCACACCTTGCAAGGCTGTTCGCATGCATTCAATCTCAGCACTGTAAATGTCATCCAGCATCAGAGCAGGCTATCATTTCAATGTATCATCGACGGAGATCTATAATAGGACTGACAGACATCGCCAGACATGTTCTGACAGAAAATTGGTGGATAAATTGTAGGTTGACAGATCGGATTGACGCTGTGGTTATAAATAAGTAGATTTTCTTTTATTGTAGGCCGGTGCTGAGTAAGAGACCAGCACCAAGCTCCGTAAGCACCAGTCCGTCTAAATATGTATTGCACTCCACTTTTTAGTTTTCCATCAAAAGAATGAACTATGGTGTCAGCCTCAGCTTGCTCATCCCATCAGCGTTTCTGTTGTCTGAGGGGAAGCGAGAGACGGAAAAGGGAGGGAGGGTGGGAGGTGGGGGGATGCTCCCGAGGAGGGTGGGGGTCGCTGTAATTCTGAATGGAGAGCACCGCATCGGCAAGACAAGATTAGAATTGACAGCCTGATAACTGTGTCACTACGAAAACAGCAACGAGAAGGGGAAGGCGATGAAATAGGAAAAAGGAGAGGCACAAACGAAGGACGAGCTCAGACGTGCGGGCTGACAGTTTAAAAGACGTGAAAATGAGGCAATAAAAGCAGGTAACGGTGAGGGAGCCTGGGTACGAGTGCGTTTTGTTCAGTCACAGTCTTCATGTTTAGTATGCGTCGTCATCATCATCATCATCATCATCATTGGATGCACAGAGCAGCAGAGTGGAGATAGCTGTGCGCTGTGTTGACTTGATAAAAACAAACCTCTCTTTACATGACGGCCATTGTAGCAAAGCACACCGCAGACCCTCAACCGTTTACATAGTGCTCCAAAAAACAATGACGATGAAGACAACAATGGCCTCCAGTTTGAATGCGAACACCGCCACGGCGACACATTATACATCCCGATCATAAAAACAAATATCCTCTGAATATGCTCTGGCCTGAATAGGATGAAAAACGCTTTATAATGCACACTTAAGCACTATATACAGTGGACACACACGAGTAGAAGGAGAGAGCAAAAAAAAAAAAAGCCTGGAAAAGTTTTAAATGAGATCATGCTTTCACCTCTTTGTCACTGGACTGCCTCCATTACTTTTGTAAAAACAAACATGACACATTCTTGTAATAAAGAGCACACATTCCAAACAAAATTATAGCCGCCTGAGAGAATTCCATGTTTGCTATACAGCACGGTGGAAGGCGCGGCGAGTGCCGCTTTTTATTGGACGGTCTGAAATTCGAGCACAACACAGTGGCCACAAAAATTCCCACAGCGGAAGGAGAAAAAGATGTGTTCATGGCATGTAAATGACTTGCGGTGCTTAGCTGCAAAGAGTATAAACTCATAACAACCGTCGGCGATGACAAGAAATGATGATTCGTGTCGTAGGGTTGAATTTACTGCTCATATAAGTCGGCGCGCTGTCTATCACGCGTGCATTCTCACTCACAGCGGTGACAACTCAGGGGACGCAATGACAGGAAAAG